CCCCTCCAGGGTTCGCAAGGAGCCCATGGCCCAGACCATAAGGAGGCAGCGACCTAGACACACGTAGTCCACGAGTAGTCATGTTTTCTTTCTTTCCATCGCGAGTTTGCCGCTTCACGACGATACTATTCCCCCGAGGACCCTGATCCAGATCGTGAGACGCGCCATCGATGTAGATCTCTCTCCGCCATGCGGCCGGGCCCGTTGTGTTATCCCACGTTCGTGAGATGTCTCTCATGTGCAAGACGAAGCCACCCCACTTATAAGGTCATCCCTAACCTCCTCTTTCTAGTTGGTCATGTTCATATGGTGCAACAGCAGTCAGATCTTAGAAGGTCTCACATATGATGCAGTACACAATTTTGATTTCGTGTGCCCGTTGCTCTATTTCTTACTTCAATCTGTACTTTGTTAACACAACACCAATCGCCTTATCTATTGAAAAAATTGCCTGCTATGTGTTTGATTGTCGGTCTTTGCATTCTCTCTCCAAATCATCATGATTACAAATTTAACTTAAAAATTGGAAGAAGGTCTCAGCTATTCTTACACGCATAACTTCAATCCAAGCATGGTTATATAATAAAGCCACTCAGACTCCCATAGCCATCCGGTAGGTAAATGATCTTTTATTGTTGCAAATGAAGATTTTAAACTTTATAAACCTTTCATCTTGATGTTTGCCCTCTATCAGATATTCGATTTGTCTAATTAAGTAAATAAATACGCTATTTACAATTTTTGTTTTATTTTGGAACAATAGACAATAATAATTTAAGTAAAGGAATGAACTAAAAAAATGAGATTATTGTTTTGATCTTTATAGTAGGGGCCCCTGGTTGTAATTTCACCCTGGGCCCCCGAAATATCAGAACCGGCCCTGACTGTTGTCGTTTGGATGGTGTTTGGATGGCAGATGTGATGGTGCATGCTCAAGCGGTCACCTGATCTCGGTCCGGCGTCAGCAGACACGTCCAGCAAAGCATGGATAGCAAAAAGGACTACCAAGTGCAGACTATTCTTTTCTCTGGGTAGAGTTCCCTGTTCAAGACGACAAATCATGTAAGCTTATGCAGTTTGATCTTCGCTATGGATTGGGAAAATACACTATGAACAACCAAAAATTGAGTCCTGTCCTAAGTAGGATGTGCAGTTTGTATACTTGGGAAGCATTATGTTTGTATATTTCCCAGGCAGAGGTGCTGGTATCAGCCTATTATTATGTTCTTTCCTTGCTTTTATCTTTTCTCTGCTTTTATTTGGGCGAGAGATACACTTGGGAACATGCAAACGGAGGAAGACACGGCCCCGAAGTGAAAAGAGACTTGCAAAGGTCCACAGAAAACAAAGACCCAACCACTGTTCAACTTGCAAAGGTTCACTTCTCAACAAAATAAAATAAAATAAGACTTGCCAAGGTGCAAAGGTTCATAGAAAACGAAGACCCAATCACTGTTCCAACTTGGAAAGGTTCAGAGAAAACAAAGCATCCAGTCCAAGGATACCACCCGCTGCATTCAGAAATGCATAGCAATTACCCTGTTCCCTGATAAGTAAGTCAGAACACCTCATCCCTTAAAGTCACAAATGAACTTGACAGGTAGCTCAACGATAGAGCATCACGCAACATTATATAGCTGCTTCTTATCTCGGAAGCACAACACACAAACCAGCTAGTATTTTTCTCAATTCAGGTAAACCACATCCTCAATAGAGCGCGTTGAGAGCATCAGTATTCCACCACGCACACCGAGTATGGGATAAAGGATGGAGATCATTCACGCGAAATCGGCTAAATGATTATACGATACTACTACATTTTCACCACTGCAGTTGGTTAAATGATACTAGTACATGTTCAACAGCCATAAGTGAATGATACGCAACACAGATAGATAGACATTCGGTAGGTTCCATCTCATCTCACGACCATAAACTAAACCACCACACGAGACTGATAACTAAACTGCCACACGAGACTTGATAACTTAAACGAGACGATAAGTTGATAAGCTGGTGGATTTAATGGCCGGCTGACGACCTCCTAGTTGCTGTTCATGCCCTCCAGCGGCGGGGGCGCTGATTGGCCCGGCTGACGGTGATGGTGCGGCCGCCAAGCTCCTGTCCGTCCATGCCCTGGATGGCGTTGTTCATCGAGTTGTCGTCCCTGAAGTTGACGAAGCCGAACCCGCGGGATCTGCCCGTCTCCCGGTCGGTGACGATCTGACAAATCAAAACACGAATGAGCGAGTCAGCGCACAAGGAAACTTCACCAGATCTATGTGTAAACGAGGGAAAGTAAACCTAGAAACCCTAGAAAACAACAAGGTGACATGTACAATCCATCCAAACTAACAAACTTGCAAGCAATGAACAAAACATCAAAGTGTACTTTTTTTGCGGGTAAAAGCCTCATATTACAGTACCATCAAGCAACTTCCAAGCACGAACACGAATTACACAAAGCTGACGAACACAGCCACCGGCCACCTAAAGGGGATCGGAAAAAGGGAGCAAACTACTAGGAAAGATCTAAAATCAACCACAATCGTACATGCGCGGGACCCTGGCCCCACTCGTCGCCGGCGCTGACCGGAGAGGAGATGGGAGGGGGCGACGGCGGAGGATCTAGGACTGTAGAGAGAGGTGGAGGACTAAAATCAAAGACGAAGCCTTCACATCAAGAAACCTTCACTGACCTCGGCGCTGAGCGGGCTGTAGGCATGGAAGGCGTCCTTGAGCGAGCGCTCATCGGTGCTCCAGGAGAGGTTGCCAACATAGGTGCGGTACTCGATCCCCGAGCAGTCCTTCCAGTCCGAATCCCACCACGGCACCGACATTGCACTCGAGATAAACCCTAGCGGTGGGAAGAATCGAGGTTTTTCTTAGGCCTGGGTGGGCGTCGGTGAGGCCGGGGCAGCGGGCAGTGGAGGCGTGAGACGAATAATTGAGGATGCGTGCGCAAGCCGATACGATGCCTGTATATACAGGGTGCAACTAGTCCACGCGTAGCCGCGGGGGGCACCTCGCCAACATGGCTGAACGAAACGTGGCAAACTTTTTCTTTAACCGGGCTCAGAGCATCTACAACCGTGTCCCTATTACCCGTCTCAATCCGGGCTTGGTCAAAAAAAATCAACCCAACCGAAACTCTCAAACTGCGGACAAATGCCCGGGCTGACCGACACCCCTCATATATAACCCAAATATAAGGCAGATATGAGGCGGCCCGGGCACACCCGAGCACGTCCACCTCACGGCCCGGTCCACCACCGACTCCATAAAAAACCCCAATCCGGATGGCGAGCTCAAACCCTAGTTCACTCTTTCCCTCTCTCGCTCTGTCTGTCCAGTCCTCTCCCTCTTCGGTTCCGATCCCATCCACCATCATGAGCAGGTCCGGCAGCGACTCTGGCTCGGAGCTCGACTATAAGGAGGAGATGGTCGTCCGCATTTCACTGCAGCGCTTGAAGGTGGAGATCGGCGTCAGCTCCAAATCTGGAGCGTTGCCGCAGCTCCTGCGCCGGTGCAGCGCGGACGCCGGAGTTGGACCCTCCCGACCCACGCGCAACAACGCCCGATCAGCACAGTCCGCGTTGGACCCGTGTTGTCTCCTTCCCCCGCTGGCCGCTCCTGCACACAACCAGCGCTGGGTGCTTGTGCCCGCGCCTCCGGCCCGCACGCGCACTCCGGAGTCGGAGGCGTGCGCCGCGCGCCACGAGAGGCGGCATGCATGAGAGAGGGAAGCAGCAGAGCAGTCGCGCGCCACCACGGGACGGAGTCGGACGCCAACAAGGACACGCGTCTCCTTGCCTTGGGCGTACCGCTGCTCCCTCACGACGGCGGACATAGATGCTCGCCGCCTCCGAAGGAAGAACGCGAAGGGGCTCCGGCTAGTTATTGAGCAGTCGGAGCGCAAGGCGAAGGAGGCAACGACAGTGAAGGATCGGGTGGCAAGGCTGAAGTAGGAGCACGACAGGGCGGTTCGTCAGATGAGGGGTCTCATCATCCTATCCGACGGCAGCGACAACTGCAGCTCGTCATCCGACGACCAAGAGCCTCCACCTACCGCGGACGCGTACAACTGCGCCTGCGACCGAAAGGGCAAAGGCCCGGCGAGGAAGTGGTGATTCCGTCCCCTCCTCCTCGATTTTTATATCGTTTTTAGCTGTAGAACTTTATGAACTTGTCTGTGGACAAACTATATGATCTTTTGGATGTGGTGAAGTATGTTATGTCCGTTTGCAGCCGATCTCGTGTTTCTTTGCAGCTCAATTTTGTTGTCCGTCATTTGATCATGTAGGATAGATCAATGTGTGCATGGGTCATATGGATATAAGGTGCCGGATATGAGATATTGATGTCTACTACACAACCTTTCTTCTTGCGGACTCGTGTTGGGCCTCCAAGCGCAGAGTTTTGTAGGACAATAGCAAATTTCCCTCAAGTGGATGACCTAAGGTTTATCAATTTGTGGGAGGCGTAGAATGAAGATGGTCTCTCTCAAACAACACGACAACCAAATAACAAAGAGTCTCTTGTGTCCCCAACACACTCAATACAATGATAGATAGTATAGATGCACTAGTTCGGCCAAGAGATGGTGATACAAGTGTAATATGGATAGTAGATATAGGTTTTTATAATTAGAAGATATAAAAACAGCAATGTAGCAAGTAGTAAAAACGAGCAAAAACGATATTGCAATGCTTGAAAACAAGGCCTAGGGTTCATACTTTCACTAGTGCAAAATCTCTCAACAATGATAACATAATTGGATCATATAACAACCCCTCAACGTGCACCAAAGAATCACTCCAAAGTTCCATCGGAGAACGGAGGACGAAAACGTGCATCAACATAAATCAAGAAATACATTACTCCAATGCATAGATTACCCCAACGTCACCTCCGGAATCCGATAGTTGAGTGCCAAAACATACATCAAGTGAATCAATAGAACATCTCATTGTCACCACAGATATCCCATCGCAAGACATACATCAAGTGTTCTCGTAAGATAGATCAATGTGTGCATGGGTAGTATGGATATAAGGTGCCGGATATGAGACACTGATGTCTACTACACAACATTTCTTCTCATTGACTCGTGTTGGGCCTCCAAGCGTAGAGTTTTGTAGGACAATAGCAAATATCCCTCAAGTGGATGACCTAAGGTTTATCAATTTGTGGGAGGCTTAGGATGAAGATGGTCTCTCTCAAACAACCCTGCAACCAAATACTCCCTCTGTCCGGGTTTATTAGGACCCCTCTTATTTTGGGGTAATGTTTGACATATAAATCTAACTAACAAAATGTAAACTATATGTCACAAAAATTATATTGTCGGGAAGCTCTTTCTAATAAAAATCCAACATTATAATATTTTTATAGCATATACTTTATATTTTAGAAATTTATAGATAGTGAAAGTCTAACCCAAGATACGAAGGGGCCCAATAAACCCGGACGGAGGTAGTAATAAAGAGTCTCTTGTGTCACCAACATACCCAATACAATGGTAAATAGTATAGGTGCACTAGTTCGGCGAAGAGATGGTGATACAAGTGTAATATGGATAGTAGATATAGGTTTTTATAATCAAAAAAATGTAAGAACAACATGGTAGCAAGTAGTAAAAATGAGCAAAAACGGTATTGCAATGCTTGAAAACAAGGCCTAGGGTTCACACTTTCACTAGCGCAAAATATCTCAACAATGATAACATAATTGGATCATATAACAATCTCTCAACGTGCAACAAAGAATCACTCCAAAGTTCCTATCGGAGAACGTAGGATGAAAACATGCATCAACCCCTATGCATAGATTACCCCAATGTCACCTCGCGGATCTGCGAGTTGAGTGACAAACATACATCAAATGAATCAATAGAACATCCCATTGTCACCACAGATATCCCATCGCAAGACATACATCAAGCGTTCTCAAATCCAGTACTCAATCCAACATAATGAAACCTCAAAGAGCAGGACTCAATTCATCACAAGAAGGTAGAGAGGGAAGAACACCATAAGATCCAAATATATTAACAAAGCTCACGGTACATCAAGATCATGCGAAATCAAGAACACGAGAGAGAGAGGGAACAAAGATATAGCTACTAGTACATACCCTCAGCCTCAAGGGCAAACTACTCTCTCCTCACCTGCGAAATCAAGAACACGAGAGAGAGGGAACAAAGATATAGCTACTAGTACATACCCTCAGCCTCAAGGGCAAACTACTCTCTCCTCATCATGGTAGCCATCAGGATGAAGAAGATGGCCTCCAGGTGATGATTTCCCCCTTCGGCAGGGTGCCTGAACGGGCTCCTAATTGGATTTTTGTGGCTATAGAGACTTGCGGCGACGGAACTTCTCATCTAGGGTTCTTTCTGGGGGTTTGGGTATTTATAGGAATTTTTGGCATTAGTCTCACGTCAAGGGGTCCACGAGGCAACGTCAAGCTCGGTTTCCCCTCCCTAGGGGGGTAGGGTGTGCCTAGCGAGCTTGTCGTTTCCCCGTGGGTCTTCTGGTCTTCCCACGAAGCTTCGGGGGTCTCTTTTGGTCCACAAAAACTGACCGTAAATATTCAACCCATTTTGAGAACTTTTATTTCTGCACAAAAAATGACACCACGGTAGTTCTGTTGAAAACAACATCAGTCCGGATTAATTCTAATCAAACAATACAAACCATATAAAATTATTGTAAACATGGCATGAATACTTCATAATTATAGATACATTGGAGACGTATCAGCATTCCCAAGCTTAATTCCTGCTCGTCGTCCAGTAGGTAAATGATAAAAGAAATAATTTATGAATTGTGAATGCTAGCATAGTGCATAAATTTGATCACACTACAAAAAAAGACACATCCGTGACATTTTGGGTTGAACGAATTTTTTCCTGTCATGCTTATGACACTTCTATGACGATAATTGTGACAAAAGCATGTATCATCATAGATGTGGTGGGCTCCTACTTCTATGACAAAAAATCATGACAGAAAATGGGCTTTTCATCCTGGGCGGGCCGTGGACGCACCTGCATGACATTCTTTGGGCCGTCCATGACAAAAAAAATCATGGTAGAAGTGAGGGCGAGAAACATTTCGGGGAGTTCTTGGTTACGATGGGTGGTCGGGGCCGAGCGATGCAGGGAGGTTTGCGCGTTTCTCTCGTACATGTACGCGTGTGTGTGCAAGGCGTTGGCTCTAACTGGACCCGAGCGATTGCACTAGCTACACGTGTTACTGAACCTGAGCGATCGATCCCTTGGCTGTTAACTGAACCCGAGCGATTCCTTCGGTACTGCTGCTAACTGAAGCCAAGCGATCGATCGCTGCTGCTGCTGCTTACTGAAGCCGATCGAACCTGCCGCCTCTTGATGAACAGTGAGCGTGGGGGTTGGTTGAACGAGTTGAGACGTACGTGGTTGTGGTTGGATGAACAATTCTTGGTGGGGATTGGATGAACAGGACCCCGCGGTAGTAGAGGCCGTTGCCGCTGGATGAACCGGACCCTGATCGAGTGGAGGTCGCCACACACCCGACTCGGTTGTGGGTGGATGAATAGGACGCCGTGGAGGGCTGGTTGAATAGGACCCCATGTGGAGGGCTGGTTGAACAGTAGCCAGTGGAGACTGGATGAACATGACCCCGTGTTGAACAATAGCTGGTGGAGGCTGGAGGAAGTCGATGGTGGGTGAACAGTAGCAGGTGGAGCCTGGAGGAAGTCGATGGTGGATGAACAGTAGCCCGTGGAGGCTGGAACGAGGTAGTAGACGGTGGATGAATAGGACCCCGTTTTGACAGTAGGCACTCCACAAGTCTGT